TTTTTTTATATAATACAGTTGATCATAATGGCTAAATGTTGATTATTTATAAATGTTCCCAAGAATAATAATAACGTTGATCTCATAAATAAATAAAACATGTCGATTTTATTATAAATTGTGTTTGCTTTTATTTGTGTTTATAGTTCACTAAGCTGATTTAGGTTAGAGAAACCCGGGAGATCGGGCTCGGGAATTCCCGAAGCTCGAGAAAAAAAATATGTCGAGAAATCAGAAACCCTGATCGGGACTGTACGGAGGTCGGCGAAGTTGAATAATCGTATTATAGGCTATTCCGAAACATTATTTTCAATGTGGAAGCACCGGTGGGAGGTTATTATTATATACATATACATATGTATATAGAAAATCAGACGTTACCTGTACTTATAAACTGTGAAGCCTCAGCATAGTACTGGCCTTCAGTCTCCACCTGTGCTCTCAGTCTGACATTGCCGAAACGTGACAACTAAAATTCTGAACAAAAGATCTACAACAATAACCATCATATAGGAAATGAAACTACATATTTTTCCGGATGTAAATCGCGTGTACACAGTGTTAAACGCTAGGCCACCAACGTCATCAAATTAATATTTGTACTTTATTTACAGCTCATTACCTAGAAGCCGAACAGCTGCGCGGGCGGCCGTTGGGTGCCGTCGGAAAGTACAGGGTGCGACGCAAGTTTCCTTTGCCCAGAACTATTTGGGACGGCGAGGAGACCTCGTATTGTTTTAAGGTTTGTTGCTTCTTATTACGCAATAAGTTAAAATATGCAAGTAAGATACAATAAAGCTTAAATATTACAAACTAAAACTATGAATAAAATGGAGTCGCCGCGGCAAGGAGCGTCCCCCTTTGTGTACAATAACACAAGATATTTATTCGCTTTTAGTATATTATATAGAATGTTGGCATGCGAATATTTTACACAATTCTTATTTAAAGTTAAATTAATGCAATAGCATAAACAAACAATAACAATTGGAATTTAACCTGAAAATAGTAAGTATAAAATATAACAAACAATAATAAAATTTTACATTTTATGTTATCCAGTAGAAACCTCAATAGACTTACTAACAAATTATGCAGTTTAATTTTAAATTATCTACAATTTAATTATTAATACAAAGATCGAACACTCAGAAAAAATCCCTTCGATCCGGCCGGATTCGAACGACGTCTTCTAGCATACCGTGCCAGACGCTATACCAACTAAGCCACGGAACGAACCAGCGGACCTCACTTCTTTAACAGCATCCGGTAATATATTAAGTAATTTGTGTGCTAATACGAACATCGTTCTGCTGTAAAATTCCAAATTAGGGCGATGTTTTGCAGTATTTCTATTTTATTTCTTGTGTTTCTAGAATATCTACTTTTGACCATATTAAAGTTGCTTAGATTTTGTTTCACATAAACACGGAACTAGTAAATATACATCGATGGTAGGGATAATATCTTCTGTTTTCTAAACTAATGTACACAACCCTCTCACTGACCCACACCAAACATGGCCTTGACACATTTCTTCTGGGTTTAGATAATGGCATCATAATACGTTTTTCAGCTGCATTTCCCCAGAGCTTATGTAGCTCTTAGACAAAAGTCGTGTGCTTGATAAGCACAAAGAGCAGCTTTCTGTGAATTTGTTTATGGCTATGCTAATACATTTGGCAAGGTAGCTTGGGTTTCCCAGACAGTCTATTAATTTTTTGGAGAAAATTTTGTACAGATGATGGGCACCGGGACCCCACGGGCGAAAGATTTCGACTCCCAAGGATGCACATAGGCAGTCGGAGCTGAAGTCCTGGTACTTATCTGCTCTTACTTGCTACTTGTGTTCTTTTTCATTTTCCGCTGGCGGAAAATCAAAATGTGACGCAAGTACCTCCATCAGCCTCCAACATACACCAAATGTACAGCATAGTCTGCAACTGTCACGGCACATAAAATATGAGAATCACACAAGTTCTCTGGTCTCAAACTAGGGAATTCCCTGTACAATGAGTACCGAGTACAATGAGTAAGAAATTAATAGATTCAGACCTAACTTTGCGGAAGTCCATGTTAATAAAAATGGAAGTAAATTAATTTGGTACTCCGCGAACCCAGTGAAGGTTAAATCGTGCAAAATAGCTGCGCTTGTGTTGAATATTTTTACATGCAGTTAATTATCCCACCCTCCCTATAATTACAGTCACAAACCACCAAGTGTTTCGCCTCTCCACGAGGCATCCTCAGGGGCTGTTGACTGCTCGACGCCCGGCCGAGGGTCGTCAACAGCGTCAGCAAATTAATTTACTTCCATTTTTATTAACAATAAGTAAGAGTTGTAATTCAATGTGGGGCACTTCCCAGAACACACAGACTAGAATTAGTTTTAAAAAGTTAATTTCCCAAATTGGTCCGACCAGTAATCAAACCCAACACCTCCGCATCCATCGCCCCCATTGCAAACCGTTAAGTCACCGAGGTCCGCTATGTTATGGTACCCCTAGAGTTTCTTAGTAAGGAAGAAAGGAAGTACTGCCACCTTACCTATTTCTGCTGTCAAGCAGTAATGTGACTGTGTTGCGGTTACCATGCTGGACTGTCACGCAGGGGGCCCGGGTTCGATTTCCGGGCCTGGAGAAATATTTGTATGGCCTACATTTATTTCTCTCGTGAGTTTGGATGTAAGTTGTGGTTGTCTATGTGTGTGTCTATGGCATCCGCGATACAGAGTTTCCCTAGTGCGGGGTTATGAGTGAGTGCGTTATTATTATATTTATTTAAACTTTATTGTACAATACACTGAAGTACAAATGGCGGACTTAATGCCATAAGGCATTCTCTACCAGTCAACCATTGGGCCAAACAGAAAAAAAACACAATAGGTTGGTGCTACACTTAAACAAGAAGAAATAGAAATACTAGAAAATTAATCGATAATTTGTATGGTATAAATAAATAACATACAATAAACATACTTATTATACATACATAATAAACTTTCATATATATATTATAATAATAAATAATATGATTATATGTACCCAAAGCAACATTAAACAGTGTCTTAATTTTGACTATTGTCAAACAGATGCTTGCGCAACATGCGCTTGAAAGATAATTTGGTCTGAGCTTGTCTTACATGGAGCGGGAGCGCGTTCCAAAGACGAATTGCATGAAGGGTAAAAGAATTAGACAAAAAATCAGTGCGATGAGAAGGAATGGAAAGCTTAAGGCTACGGGAAGATCGAAATTCGCAACCCGGCCTATATTATGTTATTAATTTGAATCTCGAATTCTGAACATTTAGTCCGAACGGCCTATTTTTGCAATTCGATGGGTATCACCCATTGACTTACAATTATATGGACGTCGGGTCCGCGCTAAAAAGTGTCCGAACTTATAGGGCGTTAAAATCGTATACAGAGCGTCATTCACGCTTTAGTCTTCGTTTGTTCGACTGACAGCGAAGCAAGCAGAAATAGACAGTACTGCGATGACATTACAATTTAAAAGCTTTTTCATATTCCTTTACATGTCACTACGTTTAAATAGGTTGACTTGGGACATTTTTTTCGTGGTTTTTTTATTAGACCCGTCGTCCATTTATTTGTAAGTCAATGGTCTCACCTTAGTAATTTTTTTTTCTGGTGGTAACCTAAGCGACACGCCTAACCATTATGATTGCAGTGCCATTCAGAGCTTTAAATCGCAAAGATCTGAGCGGTATTGCCTCTGCGCCCGTCACCCTGAGTGACGAAGTTACCAAGCCTCATGTGCCTGTAATTTCACCAGCACCTTACCTTTCAAAAGCGGAACCCATTGATTGACTCACATTACTGCTTGGAGGCAGAAATAGGTAAGGTGGCAATATTCACAAACTACTGCTACTAAAATAAATAAAAAAGCAGCCTGTATATTTCCGAACATATGCTATGAGCTTTTGTATGATTACGCTCTGAAGTTCGTTTATTAGATAAACCAAATGCTTCTTTGAATTACAATTCTTAGAATGAACTGGTGGTTACATCATAGGAAGGTTATTAAAATGGTTCTTTAACAAGGTTGTTAAAATCAGGGCAATGTTAAAACCAAGGCTTCTAAATTATCAACTGAAAAGATATGTCATAATAGAAGTACCTACATAACTACAGGCACATATGACTTGTTGTGCTTACCACCAGGCGAACGACTTGTTCGTACTTTCAATTGGTATCATAAAAAAAGTACAATAAACGTACAATGACATCATTACAGAAGGAGGATAATTACAGGAAGCGCTGGAAAACTCTAGATGGCGTCTGGCGAAGCAAATAGATCATACCTTGAGTTTACGGTGTTTATAGAGTTAACAAGTTGATGCAAAGAGTTGTCATTACCGTCGTTAGAGTGTAAAATATAGTTATTAAACATAATTACAAAGCGACATACCTTGTCAATGTCTGGTAGCTGTAAAGATAGGAAGCGGGGCAGATTCGTACGTTTTTTTTTTAACTTTGCTTTTTCTAATTGCAATTATAATGAATATTTCTTTCTACCTAATTGATGACATGACTAATAACCATTGCTAATTTAATATTTTCTGTCACCGAATAATTGAAAAATTTAGATTTTAACAAAAAATGGGAATTGTCAAATTCTGCCCCACCTGCGGGGTACTTTGATACATCGATTGGGGCATTCCTGGTTGCCACGTATTATCAGCACTAGGTGATCAACTTGCTCATAAAGTATGACGCTATATGCGTCTCAGCAATTGCTAGATCAAGACTGCTTTCTAGAGCACCATTTGAAAAGTGATCTTTGTAATGTAGTCTTGACAGTAGAAATACAGGAGGAAGAGCTGACCATAGCGCAAAATGTCACTAGTTCACCTCTTTACAATAACTTGTTGAAACAGTTTTACACTTTTCGTACAAAATAACGAATAGAAGCACTTTGAATCTTGTAGACCTCATTTTGTTAAGTGTAAAATACTGACCGTTACTTCTCTCTACATTCTCGAGTCATGTAAATTTGTTAGGAAGCACCCACAATTTTATTCACGTCTGACGAACGATAAACGAAATAACAGAAACTTAAACAAGCTTGGAGTACCTTTCTCCAAAATGAAATTAGTTACGTCTGGCCCGCACACCATGTTAATTAGAATTTATAACCACACCAAATTATATCAAAAACCTGGAAAGACTTACACAATTTACTAAAGAACTAAAGGCATTTCTTGTTAATAAATGTTATTATGACTTACATGAATTTTTTGACGATACGTAAGATGACAAATAACAATAATAATATAAATAAAAATACTTCGACATCTCTTATTAATAATTATTGATATTAATGTATTGTATAAAGTAAGTTTTCTAATTAAGAATAATGCAATGTAATAATTTATATAATAATGTAATGTTATTATATTATATTGTAATGTAATAACTTAATATAGTTAAATAGTGTGATTTATGAATTTAGCTCTCAGATGTTGCTGTGCCGTTGCAGGGCGTCACATGTATACCATCAATTAATGTTCCATGTTAAATTTGTCATGTGATATGCAATAAACAATTGAAATTGAAATTGATATGTACCAAAATGCCCCACTCACTAGTGTATAAAAGTACCACACCGGCCAGTTTACAAAAAGAATTATTTAAAAAAAATCTTTATATATTCTCTCAAAGTCACGTGCAATTCTAGTTATTAAAAATACTAGTTTACCATGTATTAAAACATAAAACCCTGTAAAGTGAACAAAACTACAGTGGCACTAGTATTGGTGTCGCTTATCGTATATGTCTACTATTCACACGTACAAGGGCACGTTTTAGTATAACCACAACTAATATTATGTTTGTAGGTATGGAGATAATGCAGTGTGCAGTGTATGAATGTGCCCCCTGTATCAAACTGCCCCGCTTCCCCCTAATTAAGAGAAGAAAATGTTTTCATAGATTTGTCACAGGTGGAACTACGAACTACAAAAAAAATCGTTAAAACTACAAACAAAAATCTGTAACAAATTTATAGAAAATTTATTAGGGTGAGTGCAGATCTGGCGAAAATACATGTTAATAAGTGGCGCACGAACGGCACGCGAACAAATCGCACAACGTAATGTATCCATGCATCTCCTACCTACCTAAGGTCTGCTGACTGGATCTGTATCTCAGTTGGAAGAGCGGTAGCCCCAATTAGGCAGACCCTGGTTTGAGTCCAGTCAAATCGAAAGAATTTTTTGTTGTGTTTATTCGGTCTTTGTATAAAAAAAAAGTTCTTCCTGACGTTATCCCACGCTAGGTGGGGTCGGCACAACATGTATTTTTCTTCCACTCTCCTGCAGCCGTCATTTTTATACTCACGCCTTTCTTATCCATGTCTTGACATGTATTTATTTATGATTATTATTGTACTAATTATTATCATATCTTTGTTTTCATTAATGACTTCTTGTGTACTGTTTTCAGTCTCTTATATTTTGTATTAGGTTTAAATTTATTTTCTTCCGACACAATCACAATTGATATGGTAATAAATGTAGCCTAAGAGTAACCTATTTACTCAAATATTTTATATGCCCGTAAAAATATACATAATTTCAATAAGAAAGAAGATTTCCATAATATTAACCTTAGAGCTACGTCCAAACTCATGGTACTACGATTTTGTTTAACCAAGGTAAACGACTCTTTTATGAGAAACTATATACGTTTTTACAACAAGATTCCGGAGCATATATTAAGATTATCGTTACCTAAGTTTAGAAAGAAACTACTTGAAAAAATATTTTGATTGAAAAGCCATATTACAAAATTGAAGACTACGTGTTAGATAAAGATGTGTTTAAAGACGACATGGCTCCAGAATCCACACATATTTGATTCAAAGTGTGTTATTCCATAGCATTTAAGACTATTTAATAAGAGCAATTCCTAGAGTTTCTTGCTCGTTCGTCTCAAGGAAGTTAGTGTAGTGAACGAGCAGTAGCTCAAATGTGACGTTTTCAAGTGTAAATTTATTTTACCTATGAATTAAATATTCTTTGATTTTGTTTTCGAATAAACTTATTATTCAGCGAAGGAAAATATCGCGATGAAACTTGCACGTAGAAGTAAACTCACAACCCTAGGAAACGTTTAAAGTCTCCAACTCGCATTGGGCCACGGAGGCGGACTAGGGCCTAAACCATTGCTTGACAGGAGACCCATTATTAAAATGTCTATTTGTTCAGGAAAAATCCCGGTCAGTTCTCCGAGACTGGTATCTGCACAACCCATATCCTTCGCCACGCGAGAAGAGGGAGCTCGCCGAGACCACGGGACTCACGACAGTACAAGTAAGTTAATAAGTTTTTTGAGATCCATGTAGCAAAACGGGGTAACCCGTATTATCATAATTAATCAATTATAATTGTTTTTATATCTAGTAAGATTACATAAGATTACAGATGTATTTGACTAACTTATGTTATTATTGACTTTTATTCATTTTTGACATGCGCATATTTTATGGAGGCTTAGAAATGTAAATTATGTAAGTTTAACATTAACATGATTTTTCGCTTTATTGTTGACATTGTTAATTTTTACTATATTTTTTCTTTGCATGTTTACTAGTTTTTGACAGTTTTTAATTATAATATTTTGTACATTATGCGACCACCACTAATTATATTTGTATGTTTCGACGAAACTGGTTGTAGTAGCACTGTTAATGTATTGAACTGATCTAATAAACTTATGGTACCTACTTCCACAAATAAATCGATCGATCGATCTAATCGACTTCAAAAAAGGAGGAGGTTCTATTCGACTGTATTTTTTTTGTATGTATGTTACGAGCCAAGTCGATCATTTGTGAACCGATTTTGAAGAATCTTTTTTTTAAAGAGGGTACCTCAATAGTGGTCCCATTTAAATGGATGCGACTCAGTTGTTTGAAAACATGTTTTATACCAAATTATAATTAATATAATATTAGTATAAGGGATATCGATAAATTTAAATTTAGATAAAACGACGTTATGTTAACTGTGGTTTATAACTTATGACCGTTAGTATAAGTAATCGTTATAAAAAAATTATAGAATGTAAGTTTGTATTAAACGTAGGTTATATGATATGAATTACTTTAATAAATGAGTTTATAGGAAGTAAAATTTTGCCAATTGAGTGTTATGTGAAGAATATTTATGTGATACATTAAACACCCCGTTTAAATTTGAAGGAAATATTCCATCTCTAAGGGTGGCAAACTAGGGGATGAATGACTTTTGAGGTCGGTGTTTTTAGTACTCTATACTGAGATTATCTGAAATTTTATTTGTTAATGAACGGGTTTAGCAGTAAGACCATGCGTGTACACCAAGGTAAACAACTCTTTTATGGGGAACTGATACGTTTTTACAATAAGATTCCGGAGCATATATTAAGTTTATCATTTCCTAAGTTTAAAAACTACATTAAAAATATTTTGATCGAAAAATCATATTACAAAATTGAAGACTACGTGTTAGATAAAGATGTATGGAAAGACGACACGGCTCCAGAATCCACACAAATTTGATTCAAAGTGTACTCCATAGCATTTAAGTTTATTTGAAAAGAGCAATCCCTAGAGTTTCTTGCTCGTTCTTCTCAGGGAGGTCAGCGTAGTGAACGAGCAGTGGCTTAAATGTGACGATTTCAAGTGTAAATTTATTTTACCTATGGAATAAATAATCTTTGACTTTGACTTTGACTTTGTGATAAAATTTCGCTAACTCTGCTAGTGATGTATGATTAGAGCAAAACCGTAGCATTATGTAATACTGGATTTAGCGATGAGCGAATTTGAATATTACTAATAAGAATCGCTAGGGCCCATTGAA